GGAAATTTGGTTTTAATTACGAAAAGTGGTATCACAGTTGCGGACTCATGATTTTGTCGAGATGGTTCACCTTTAAAGTAGATCAAAGACCTATAAAGTCGTCACATGTGTTTTTAACGATACTCGTTGTTTTAGATGATTCTTTTATGCATGTTATTTTGAGGGATTGTTTATGTTGTTTGGCTGATTCGAGACTTTTTAGGCTTTTTTTGTTTGATTTCAAAAGCCGTATTTGGTTTTTTGGTTGATTTCTAGAAATTCTTTTGACTGATTTCAAGAAACTTTTTCAGTTTTTTTACTGATGTCATAAAATTCAACTTACAAAAATTTGGTTAAGTGGATGCATGAGACGTCCCTCATAGTATAACAACGTTTAGTTTTCATTAGAAAAAAAAGTATCAATAACGATATCAAATATACAATAAAATGTTGTAAATATAGAAATATTTGGAACAAAATAATCTATACTATATTATAAAACATTTGAACAAAAATTCTTAAAAATCATTTTTTAAAATTCAAGATTACAAGTAAATTGTACGTAAGTACTACTTATTAAATCTTCATGTTTGAATTCGTGTAACTAACTATAAATAAACATAATCAGATAGAAGATAAACATCTTATTTTAAATATAAAAGATCAAATATAATTAGGGTAATAATTGAATTCTAACAAAATACTTAATTATTATCTTTATAAAAAATTATATTATTAAACCAAAAATAAAAAAATGAATTAAAGAAATACACAAAAAAAATAACAAACTTTTAATAGTTAATTTGATACTAATATCAATTTTTTCAATTTTTTATGATAAAGCTTCATATTTATATTTTATTTAAAAATAAAAACATTATTACTTTCTTAAAACCACATAAAACCGTGTTATAACATCGACTAATACAAAAAAAACAAAACATTGAAAATCAAAACGTGTCTCGTTGTATTATGCGATTACCCTTCTAATAATTATAAATAATTTTTTCTTAATTTATGTATGTAAATACAAACAAATATTTTGTATTTATTTTTCAATTTTTTATATGTTTTTTAATTATGGTGAGTAATAAAACATCCTTATCTTTATTGAGTGGATAAACGACATTTAAAATTGTCGTTTGACAGCTACATTTTTAGCATAAGTCCCCACCCTCGTCACCTTTAAAACGTTACAAACCAAAATGAAATGTTTATTTATATTTTCATATCATCATCATCTATCATTATTTTGTTTTTTATTGGATTCTTTTACGAACTTATGATGATATCTATCATTTTGAATCATACTGCTCGGATGATATCATGCTTAAATTACAAATAAATCAGAGTCAGCTTGATCGCAATCACAGAATCTCGTTCGATTTGGTGAAATAATTGAAATTTGTTTGACGTAATCTTTAGTTAAAACCGAACCAAATGAACGTATCAGTGTATTCTCAACAGATTCTCCAAAATTTCTATAAAAAATAAAAAAAAATTAAAATCTCAAAAAAAAAATATACTGTCAATTTCTACTGCTTTTTTGTTTTAGAATTTGTTGGAGATGTTTTTTATGTGTTTGTTTGGTTTGGGCTTACCTTAATATTACGTTACTGAATAGAGAGTTTAAATTATATACTTGTTTACAATCCAATGAATTGTTATCGGTGATCTAAAAGAGCTGTCGTGACACGCAATGACTTAAGGTATATGTCTAACGTCACGTTAAGCTCGTGGCACGTCATGGCTCAATGCATAATCTTTATAACATAAGATTTGATTTTTGTTACCCTTTTAGTGTCTTATGTTTTTAACATGTAACCTAATCCGCCATAAGTCACGTCTTGAAAAATGTTGTGACCTTGCCGTTATGTCACGTCTCATGCTATTTAGAACCTTGATTGTTATAGATGTATTATTAGGCGTATTCTACGTATTTTGGTATAAACCCGTTTGTGATAATAATTTCAGTTTCGTGTCTGATATTGCCAAGTGACGAAACATTCAAGTCCAAGGACTTGATAGTCATTAATAGAAAATTTTGGACTAAATTGTAAGTTAAGGAAGTTCTAGTCCAACTGAAAGTGGGATAGACGTTGACTTTGGAAGCTTGCATAAGAGGTTGAGGGGATTTTATATCCCCAAAGTTAGCTTTTTTGTTTTTAAGGTTTAAGCTTAAGTGTAGTGTCAGACCGAAGGTGAATCAGATGTTCGAAGGAGACTGTTCATGAACATGGATTGTTGGTATACCTGCACAATAGCTTTCTCTACAAGCCTACAAGCTTAGCTTTGGCTTAGCTTCCAACTAAGGCTAAGGGCATGGCATGTTCCGAAGCTAACTCTTGATAACCTATGTTCACGCTCACGATGTTACTAGCATGGCTCGGCTTCTTTCAATGCTAGGTGAACTAAGCACACAGGAAAGGAGATATCGCTCTTTCGTGGTCGGGATGTGCACCATGTCCTATAATAAGCAACTGCATGTTTCCAGCTTAGATTTGAACCCTATGATTCGATTCTTTATTCTACTCTCGAATTTAGCTTTATCAAATAACTGAGGATTCGAAGTGAATAAGAGAGAGCCAAAGACTTTATGCGTAAGAGCTCTTCAAACCTTGTCCTATCGAAGCTGCACTGATACTCCTGGAAGTGTAAATGGTTTTAAATGCAAGGTATGCTTCAAAAGGCTTGGTTTTCTGAGAAGTTTTTGAAGTTATCGAAGCAAGAGCAAGTTAAACAATACGGTAAATTTAATAAGAATCCAATAAGTTCAATTATGATTTCTACATAGGATTTTTGGTTTTATGATTATGCAGTAGTTTAAAGTGTTTACGAGAAAAAGTCATATCTTTTAGTTACCATATCGGTAACATTTTTGGTCATTAAAGTTGATTGTTGGTAATCATATTTTACCGTAAGTGTCTTCTCACTCACTTACCTGGTAAGACCCTCGATAACTATTGACTTCTCTTACCGGGTAAGATTCTTGGTTTTGTCATATTTACACAATAAAGTTGTTAATATTTAGCAAGTGGTTACTCAATAAGCGTTTGATAAACGTCTAAATGTTTAGTAATTGCATAACATGTTTTACAAAAGTGTTTTAGCAACTTGGTATATGTTTTGTATATACAGTCACAGCATGATTTCAATGTTATCCATTGTATTGTATTCAGTATTTTATTATGTATACCATGAGTTCACTAAAATATGTTCTTAATTAACATTTGGTAAAAGATTAAATAATTATGATCTTTAAAGGTGTTCTTTTTGAAGGATGTTACAACTTATACAAAAATAATCATCCCATTAGTATTATTTAAACAAAAGATCATGCTTATTGATGTATATTACTTAAAATTCTAGATTACAAGTAAATTGTACGTGAGTTACAACTTATTAAAACTTCATGTTTGAATTCGTATAACTAACTGCAGATAAACATAATCAAATAGAGAATAAATATCTTAATTAAATATAAAAAATTTAAAATATAATTAAGATAGTCATTGAGTTCTAATAAAATACTTAATTACTATCTTTATAAAAAAAAATTATACTATTATCTTCTTATTTGTATTTTTTTCAAAAATAAAAATATTATCCTTTTTCTCAAAATTATATAAAACTATATTATAACATCAACTGAGACAAAAAAAACATAACATAAAAATCGAAATATATTTCACTACATTATGCGAGTACCCTTCTAGTATTTATAAAAATAGTGCTTAAATGTACACTACATTATGCGGGTGAAGGAAGATGGGTGGATGAGGACTATTTTAAAAGTGTACATTTAAAAAATAGTGCTTAAATGTACATGTTTAACAAACGGGATAAAGGCTTAATTCGAAGCATCCAACTGAGTGATACAAACAAGAAAGATGATGGCAATGGTCGAAGGAAGGATCAGGTCTCTACTCCGTAGTGCCTACAGATCTATTCAAGAAAGGACGAGTGAAGTACTCATATATGGTGAAGGCTGTGGATAAATCAACATGAAGAGAGAATTAAAGAGGGGGTGGAACCAGCTGAAGCACTTGGACTCAAAGAAGCACTAAATTGGCCTATATTAACTGATAGCAACATGTGATTTTGGAAAATGATAGCCTAGCGGTGACACAAGCAATTCAATTTCCTCTTATGGCTCAACCATTCAAGACTGCAAGGACAGTCAAACTCGTCTAAGCAACACTTGGGTTGTTTTTATTAAACAATCTGCAAACCGGTGGCCAATAACAATGCACAGAAATCGTGTTATTACTTGGTTTATACCGAGAATGAGGGTATGAAAATCGAACTCTTTCCAAAACATTGGAGCAATTTTTTTAGATATTAGAATCATTGTAATTCAGGTAGAGCTTCAAGACCAACAGAAAGAGATGCTGAAAAAACATGCTTGTTATATTCAAAATAGGATCAACTATCAAAACCTATCTACAAACCTCATCAGATTGCCACCAAAACATACGATAAGAATCAATGCAAAGCCTCCCAAATGCAATGAGGTGTGCAAAGTGCAAGCAGACATTATCTAGGTCATTCACAGATTATCAGTGTAATTTCAATTAACAACCGATAACATTGAACTCAAACAAGCATACCAGAAAGTGCCATTAATGACCTCTAAAAAACTAAAGTTAAGACCCAAGATTGCATAGCAAATCAACTTGTTCAATATGTCAATAATAATAATAGACCTAAATGGGAATCAAACCACCATTGATTAGCATGACCAAATTAGACATGCTAAGGCAATGCATTGCAAAACAAGATGCTGTAATATGAAAGACAATGTAGGAACGTGATTCATGATCTAACAATCTAGAAAGCTATTTCAAAAATAAAACAGGGTGGGCAATGAGAATCTGAACCATTTAAGGAATGGGTTTGCACAATGATCACGTTAAATTTTCATAAAAAACAAGTAGTAATAGGCAGTTCGTTCATATGAAGGAGCCTGTTGAAAGAAATAAAAAATATGCTAAAACATATTACTCACCAAAAACATCAGATTAAATAAAGAGGAAACAGTATGTGATTCCAGAACAAAATTTGAAAATTTTGGCAATATGTCTCCAAATTCACTAATGAAATTGGTGATGTGATAGAAGTAAAACTTGACAAAAATTCTCAAATTATCAAAATAACAGACGACAACAGAAATTAGAAAACTAACAAATGTTCTCACTTGAATACGATAAGAGACTCAATCAATCCTGAGGAATCTCAACTGATCCATCAGCTATTTCCTCCTGCAAATCCTTCGGATCTTTTCCGTCAACCGTACAACCAACGGAAACACAAGTTCCGAGAATCTCCTTCACAGTTCCTTGCAACTCCTTAGCCATTGACCTAGGACGCATAACCTTAGCGATTTCAATAACATCATCGAGAGAAATGTTGCCGCTGTGCTTGATGTTTTTCACCTTCTTACGGTCACGCTCCGGTTCCTTGAGAGCTTTGATAACCAGAGCGGCGGCGGAAGGCACAACTGACACCTTAGCCTGACGATTCTGCACGGTAAGCTTGACGGTAACTCTGAGACCCTTCCAGTCCTTAGCCGTTTCCTTGGCGATGTCTTCTCCGATCTTCTTCGGAGAAAGACCTAGTGGTCCAATCTTGGGAGCGAGCGAACTCGCCGCACCGACCTCACCTCCGGTGACACGGACATAGACGTCGACGACTTGTGACGGATCGAACTTTGGCGGCATCTTTGAAGAAACGAGAGAGAGACGGCGGCTACGGTTTTGGCAGGAGAGTGTCTGGAGTTGTGAGACGCTACGGCCTTGAAAAGAAAATTAAAAGGGGGAATAAGCTAGGGTTTTGCAGGAAGTTGTAAATGTCTTTTTTACCCTTCCAGTCTTTTGGGCCTATTGATATATGGGCTTTTGGTTGTCTTGGGCCTATTGGGTTGAGTGAAGATCCAATTATCAAAAAAATAAGAGTAGACGCTTATGAGTTATAGTTAAAGATTGTTTAAAAATTGAACTCATACCGGGTCGGCCCAAATTGGTTTTTGTTTGAGGTTTTCCTTCTGTATCCGGTCATGGTCCTGACTAAAAAATACTCGGTCCCTTCTCCATTCACGAAGCCCGATCCTTGAAACGGTTTTTCTTTCTCCACAGTAGTGATGGCCAAATCGGCCCGGCCCGGTCTGGGACCAGCCCGGGACCGGTTATGGGACCGAAAACCAAATATAAAAATACCAAAGGGCTTTCGGCCTAGTTGTATACGAGTCTTTAGCCTCCTAGGAGATCAATGGTTCAAAATCTCACCAAATTAGATGAGGGTGTAAGTTTATCTGTTCTATTTGTCGTATATAAATATTATATGCTTAAAAAAACAATCTATAAAAAGTTATCAACAAATTGTCACATGTTTTTTTAATAAAGGCTAAATTTCAAAGGGATAAATTTTGTATATAAAAATATACGAGGTAATACGTATTAGGATTTAGTAATAAAAGTTACTTAAGAGTGTATACTTCTTACTCTTCACTTCAGTGTCAACGTCCAAAATCTTGTCGATAAATTTTTTGGTAATTTACAAGGTCATGATGAATTGTTGTTAGTAATCATCAACAAAAACACGTGCTTTTTTATATTCATTTATGATTACAGTGTTTTTATATATTATATTTAAGATGTAATTAAATCATCTGTATATAGTTGTCAAACACATAGAAGAGAATTAGGCTCTCAGGCTAGGTATCCGTCCATATCTCAACCACAACCTTCTTTTTCGTAATTTCAAAAGTAATAAAGTAAATACAGCAAGACCATTGAAAGGGACTGATTTGCAAGTCTCGTCTTTAAAGTGCACTGCGACACTCACTAAACTTTATGGCGAACGTATAACGTACACAATTATTTGCACTCTTGTGTGAAAATCAACAAATGTAAATATATATGGGTCTTTTTTAGAGAACTCATAAAATTGAGATAACTTTGAGAATCTATATATTATGTGGTATTTTATATATTTTTTTTTTTCCATCTAAGACTAAGATTTAGAATATTGATTAACGTATATTTGTTTTACAATGTGTTCGCTTCACATGTACTCGGTTTACAATTTGAACTTTTTTGACGTGTTAGTGAAACAAAAATACAAGTAAAAGAGTTTCACACTATGAACGGAATACATGCGAATGAAATAAACCGTGAAACAAATATATATGTTAATCAATACATTCAATATTATACGTGGATGGAAAAAGATCACGTGAAACAAAAGATTAAAGTAAAAGTTCTCATGGATCTCATAAATTTTAGAGTTCTCAAATAATTAAGCCTATAAGTTAGCTGATGACTGATAAATTAGTTGATACCTGATAAACTAGTTGATAGTTGATAAACTAGTTGATATTTGATAAGTTAGTTGATGTTGATAAGCTAACTGATGAACAAATCATTTTTGACAAAAAAAATTGCTAATAAATATGAAAAATGACCAAAAGAAGCATTTTTAAAAATTAGTCGATTATAATATTTTATAAAATAATTAAATCAAATATTTAATAATATAATAATAATTGATATGTTTAATAATAATTTTAAACAATTAACAATTAATACTAATATTAATTGAAATTATAATTGTAATAATTTTCAACTACTATTAATTAATATTTATTAATATTAATAATAATTGTTTTTTTATTTTTATTTAATAAATTAACATTTATTTATAATTAATAAAATTAATATTATGAGGGTTATTATTGGGAAAAAAATTACAAAAAGAACTCTCCATAAACTACTCTAACTAACGTTTCAATAAACTACCAAGCTAGTTTATTTCCATTCAAACTTGTATTTAAAAAATAATCTATCTTATTTTTTTCAAATAGTGTCTTTTTTTTCTTTGATTAACCTGGATATCCAACCCGTTATGCGAGCCGATTAATCCCAGAGCGACCACCTGCTTTGCAGATAGCCCGTAGTCACCGCATTTGAACCTCCATGACCACAAAGGGGATTTTTATTCCTCATTGGATTCGAACCTAACACCTCCTCGTACTTTTAACATTTGGAGCCAAACTCAAACCAATCAGACACCATCCTTGTGGTTTAATATCTTTAGAGTCATGAAGAAAAGTACTCTATATCAAGATATTGGGTCATGTTCTCTACTATTGTAAGTCTTTTAAATGAAACATTTTATAGTTTGATCTTATAAACTAGAGTTTTATAAAGTATTATATTAGATAATTTAAATACTCTAGAAGTCCTGTAACTCTAATTTATTATAATGTTTATAGAATTATAATATCATGTAAAATTATTGGAAAAGAAACCGGAAAGCAAAAGGACAAACAATTGACTTCAAATGTCAATCATGATGTAACTGATGATAATGAACGTTTAAGTAGCATGAATAACACGTATTGAGATGAATAGATATAAATGGCAATAGGAACAAGAACGTGGAAATTACGTTAACGATATCGAGGAAAACACTATAATAAATCATTTTCCGTTTATATTATTAAAATATAAGAGTTCTCATGAGACCAACTTGTTTTCATAAAATTATATAATAATATTGAAATTTATAGTAAAACATTGTAAATGTACAAATAACATCAAACTTTCGCATACAAAAAAACACCGTGAAAGTTTATATATATATATACACTTGGGATCATGTGAGACCAAGAGTTTTTCGTGAGACTCGTAAAACCTTGGATTAGATTTACAATCTAAACATTCATAATCATATAATTGTCACGAGACTTCTCAATAATCACAAAATTGTCGTCCTGCAACTTTAGATCATTAGATCATTAGCTTATAAAGTTGATCAATGAATATAAATTGGTCTTACGGTTCTCACAAAAAACATTTGATTTCATGTGAACCCAACCATATATATATATATATATATATATATATATATATAATATAAATTAAATTAAATATATAAATACAAAGAATTATGGTAAACAAAAAAGTCTATCAAAATCTTTGATATGTTAAGAGACATAATATTCGTACAAATAGTTGTTGGTTTTCACATACGTTCTAAAATGCGATGATGAAATGCGTTAAAAATACATTATAATTATTTGTATTATTAAACTTATATATACAACAAAATATTGAAAACATTTAATAAAATACGAACTTCACCACTTGATAAATAAAAACAGTAAGGTCGCATTTAATTTTTAATAAGTGTTGTGGTCTGAAATCTTATTTAATTTATGATCGATAAGAGGATCGTGTTGAAGTCTGAAATATAAATCAATAAGAATGTTTGTTTTTGTAAACTGATAAATGTCTGAATTTATTTAAATTGTCTATTTCATCTTTTTATAAATAATAATGCTGAATTTATAAATAAATTTATACAATTTCACATATTTATTCATCTTCATTACGAAGTTCACATCTAAATCATATAAATAGCATTTATTTAAACGAAAATATGTCATTAACATAATTTAACACATTTAAATCCTATTAATATACATTAACTGAGAGAGGTGAGGATCAATTTGGAAAGGATCGGGTGAAAGAAATGAACGATTAAGTTTAATCGATTGAAAAACGTCGTTACTGAAGGTTTGAATAACAATAAGAGGCAAATAAAACATTGATTTACCTCTTATCAAATAAGAAAACAATAAGACATAAATGTCTCTGGAAAATTTTAAAAAATCAAATAGTCTGAATAGGCTACTTTTTGACGAATCAGACATAAGAGACTAATAAGAGTTTTTTTTAAACAAACAAGACTTAAATGTGAATTCGTTATTTGCACAACCACCCCTCAACAATTAAGCGGATGCCCTCAAACTTTCTTCAATGTTGACCTCAACCCTTCTCCATAAATTCCCATTCACATCCCCTCATTTTGATTCTTCATAGTTGTAGCCACAAAAGTTTTATACTTCACGTTTTAGCCACTCCTTGAAAAATAATTACAAACCGCTTACATTTGAAACAAATAACACAATTACCAACTAGATTCCCATGGCTGTATTGAGACCATATACACTCTTTCAACACGTAATACATGTTCAGCAAGTCAATCCATTATTTGTACGTATGTTTGTAGGGGTATAAATGATACGAGACAACTCGTTAGTTATTTGATATCGACTCGGTCAACACTCGAACTCGAGCTCGACTCGATATATTAACGAGTCGAGTCAAGCTATCCAATACTCGATTCGAAAAGCTCGTGAGATACTCGATTATTTTACATATAATTAGTTTAAAATATAATCAATTTTTATGATAAAATTTATAAAATATAAATAATAAAATGTCTCATAATTTTAGATATTTAAACAAAATTATGCATTTTTTAATTATAAAACTTAATCAATTATTTTTTATTAAAATTATAATTAAAAAAGATAAAGAAAAACTATAAAAAAATGTTAGTGAAATTGTCCCACATTGGAAGAAAGATGATAAAAGAAGATAAAAAAATGTTATAAAAAAGAGAGGGAGATGAATGAAATTTCTAACTTTGCCTTTTTGATGATGAAGTTTGAAGTTGATCTATTTAGTTTTATAAAAACCAAGAGAACACCTTTAATTTTTAAAATTTATAAGAGAAAGACCCTAAAATTTCATTAATATCAATGGGTGAGCCTGGTTCTAGTTCGAGTCAAGTTTGATTTGAGTTGTAGTTCGAGTTTAGTTCCAGCTTTGATTCAAGTTTGAGTTTGAAAAATAGTTATTGAGTTTGAGTCGAGCTTTGATTTTTACAACTCGCGAGTTTTCGAGTCGAGTTCGAGCTTAAAAATTGGGTTTCAAGTTCGAA